TATTAAAATCAAACACTATTGCGAGTTTTTATTTAAAATTATTATTTTATTTGGGTTTAATCGTTTAATTAGCATCCATAAAACTTATCTTAGAAATATATTTTCTGGCATTATCTGAATAACAATTTCTTCATAGACGGATATTAAAATTTTGTCGTCTTTGGTTTAGTAACTATTTTCAATATAATATCTTTGAGTATACTCTATACAACATTGGCATAATTTGATGTTGAAAGCACTAGCGCATCATAATTATATTTGTACATCAAAGAGCTTCACACGCGAGTTTAAGACTGTAGAAAGAATTTTACACTTTCTTGTGTTCCAAGTGACAACATAACATGGTTTAACTTATTGCTTTGTACTCTATGTATCTGTATTAAATTTTACATTATCTATGTTCTATAAACAACCATAGTGCACATGAAAAACAACAATTTATACGAAAATATTTCTTGTTTTTGTTAAAAGGAATGAAACGGATAAAAATATATTTTGTCAGAGTGTTTCACCAGTCAAAACCATATGGCTAAGCTAATCGTTACCTCTGAAAACAACTTTAGTAAAGTATACTTCTAAGTATAAAAGCAACTTTTCCAAAGGATATTAGTTTATGTGTTACCTGTGCTGTGCTCACGGAACAAGCTTTATAAATTGTCTTTCAATCTCATTGAGTGTATTTCTTGAAGTGATTTTGTCTTTGTTTTTTATAAGAAAATTTACTATTTTTTTTATTGAAAAAGAAAGCAAAAACAGTTGGTTAATCCTACGTAAGATTACATACATATTTTGGAAATATGATTAAAAAAATATAAAGGTACTATGTATTTAATATTTAAATTATTACAATATTATGTCAATGTTAACTCACCTAAGATTCTTATTTGAAGGAGTGAAACTTCTAGAATCAAAACGAACAGCAATCCGTCCATTTTGCAGATCCTAATAAAGTAATAAGACCTTTAGAACATACTTTGTTTAAATGTAATTATTTACATATGTTTGTAAATCGTCATATTTAACTTTGATACAAATTTTAATAGATTTTTTTTTTCGCAATGTCCTGTTTTATTAATGTGCAGTGAAGTACACCCCTGATTTCCAATTGTTAATTCTACAATATTCAATCGCCGCGAATTTTATTGATTGCAATCAGCCACATATTTTTGTCTTTAAAAACTGACATTGTTATTAGAGAGAATTTTATTTGGTCATACCACTATCTTACACATAAATACATATATGTAAATAGACAAACTTCTCAATAAAAATATCGCACCTTATATTGAATTTCGTTTATTCATTTTGAATGTATCGCTGTATTGGTGATAGCGAAAAATCAAATCGTATTTCCTCTGACTTTTAGTGAACTGCGAAACGTAATAATGGAGGTACGGCGAGATTACCCGCGGGACGACCTACAATATCACACGCTCGCAATATGTGCGCACGATCGGATCCGTTAGACCCCCTCCCCACCCCTCTAATCCTCTGCCTAAACCCTGACCTAATCATAATTTTAAATGTTATACAACTCTTTATACAAACAAAGATATAAAAAAAATTCAGTCTATAAATATTAAAATTCAAAAACGATAAGGGAATCCGGTCAAGTCATTCAGATTTTTCAATATAATTGGTAAAAATATATAGATTTCTTTCGTTTTAGTTTATATTATACAGTTGAAATTTCTCTTAAAGAAGAAACAACACGACTTCGACTTTTCCTAAAAAGGACGGGATCAGAAATTCATTAAAATTACCAAAAAAAAATTTCGTGGAATTATGATTTTTTCGCTGTTCTTTTTAATCTGTATTAGTAATTTTTGACCATACAAGCATTGATAATATATCAATTAAATAATAAATAAATTTACCTTGTCGTTTCTTCCATTATTCCCATAACACTTCTTTATTCTAACAATGCAAACTCTAGTATAAATATTAAATAATAGTTAAAATTGCAGTGATTGTTAGAAGCCGCTGTCTGACGTTACGCTCTGTTGGTTGATCGATGGGGTATTACCGAGCAACGCGAACTGATAAATCGATAATTAAACACGTTGTGTCCGCTAATACAAACAATGCTTGATGATAAAATTATTTCAGCAAAGCAAATATTTACTACAAACATGAGCTACTAGTTAAGCGCTAAATAAAACAAAATTATTATCATATGTAAAAACACTGCTAGTAATATATTTCAATAGTTGAATAGCTATTTAAGTCTCGACCAAGACCTCAATCGGCCTCAAAAGAAATGTCAGCGCCTACAATAATTTTCACCGCAACGACTATTAATACTGTAAAATGAATGACACTCACATAATTTAAAGCTTGCTTGTCCATACATAAAAATATATATATATTGCGACCGGTTTTTATAATTTTAACCTTTTCGCGTTCCGAAATTTTTAAATGATAAATATTTTTATCTATTTTTTTTGTCCAAAGTATTTATTTTAAACAAAACTTTCGCAAAACATCAAAACAGTGCCGCATTTAAAAATGAAAAGAACAAACCCAATTGTTCTATCTTTTATTTTCCAAGAAAAATGTTTCTTCGTTGAACGTTACATTTCAATGAGAAAAGTTTTACAAAGCTCACGGAAATATCTTAAATATTTTTTTGTCAAAAATAAACTTTAATATATTAATACATTCTCCAGATACTTGTTTTAACTTCACCAACAGCCGGAAATGAATCTTTATTTTGTGGTATATTTCAAATGAAAATGACCTAACAAAATAACACAGCATTTTATTGCCTTAGCATTTTTTAATTTTAGTGTAGTTGGCTAAACTTATGTACATATGCAGATTCTCAGTGTGCAGTAAGTTATTTAAAGACGATGAATAAAAGCGGTTCTAGTCGATTCTTGCCCGTAGGCACTATGGTGCGAAGGCGCCTAAGGAGGGCGCAATGTTGCTTGCTTCACTGCGCCGTCTACGAGCGGTAATTAAAGAGGATTTAATTTAATGTGACGCCCCGGCGGCCGCGTGATTGCATTACCTCTCGGCACATTTACACCGGTACGCCACTACGACGGATTTTAAGACGATACAATTCGTCATTTCACAACCGATATTTTGGGCACTCGTCTTAACAACGTTGTCATCTATATTTCGTAAACGTATATATATTCGTCGATGTATAATAATTAAACTTTTAATTTAACTACAATAAGTTTAAAATTACTTAATTTACGTCTATTTAGATGACGAACATAATTAATAAACATTCGAGCATCAAGTGAACCGATCTTTGTCGTTTTCATTTGTTCTACTTTTGACGCGCCCAAACTTCTAATATAGTCTATAGTCCCAAGCTCGGACTCCTCTGCCAATAAATATAACCGCATATCACATAGGCAAAAATCTACAAAGATAAATAAATATTTTTTGTGTGTGTTTGAAACACATAACGAAAATTATTTTCCCTAAATCAATTTAGAAATCTCATTACTTATTTGAATTTGAATCGACTTTGGTTTCATTCGACTTCTATTAATGTAACGTTTTACTCCAACTTCATCCAAATCCAATTTTGACATGCGGTTACCTAATTCTCATAACCAAAGTTTGTTTTGCAAAAGATAGTGTCGCTTTAGAATGGTTAACCGTAGCCAATATTTATTTAAACATTAGATTCTGAATTATCAGGCCTCGTAAAAAAAACAGAGAACGGAATTCGCTCTTTTAGAAAATCTTAAATATATTCAAATAAAAATTAAGTATTTACTTCCAATATGTAGTTATTGGATTGGATCAGTATTACAAAAATAAATTTTATACAATTATCTTTAGACGCAATGGATTTCCTTGTCCAATATAAAAATAACAAAGTCTTATTTTAATTGAATTTACAAGCTTTATATTCTGTGTACTTCCAAGCATGACGAGGTAGGTGTACGTGCCTGCAAGATTTACGAAATGAGAATAAAAATGCGCAGAATACTCGAGAATTTAGTGTAAATTTTTATAACGCGACTGTCTGAATTAGTTTAGACAATGAAGTCGTTGAAAATAACAAATATAAAGTTAAACCAATGGATTTTGTTTAGACTAGATTTCTTTTTTCGAGTTAATACCTTAAGATCATGTTGCCAACAACTCTACGTCATATATAAAATGATATTAGGGTATCAATTAAATAGTCTAACTAAGATTCTTCCATATCCATACATTTATATGCTACTAGCGGTCGCCCGCGACTCCGTCCGCGCGGAATTAAAAAAAACATAATTAGCCTATGTGTTCTTCTAGACATTGTTCTATATGTGTGCCAAATTTCAACGAGATCCGGTCAACTGATATGGAGATACCTTCCAATAAACATCCATCCATGCATCTAAACATTCGCATGTGTAATATTAGTAAGAAGTAAGATGTTATTTCCCTGTTTACACCGTTTTCTGAGAAAACAGGTACAGGAGTAGGAGGAGGTACAAAGTACAGAATTAATCCAGATTAATCGTTGAATGTTAAAATCGTCATATTTATTAGAACAAAAATTTAATTGCCTTAATGCAATGCAGTATGTGAGAGGTCTAAAAGTTAATTAATGTCGTCAAAGGGGAGGCCCCGATTGAACGAAAGTTGATTGAGCTTTTTATTATACCATTCTAATTTGTGAAGCGTCACGAGTTACGGCCACGGCCCGTCATTGTACAATTGGATAAATCAAAAACAAAAAATCGTTAACTGCGAACATTATTTTGTTCAATTAAAATAATGAAAACTTTGAAATGTTCTCTTTCTCTATACTTCTTTATGCTTCTCTGATATGTTATTAGTCACCAAATATAAAGAGGGTTTAAAAAATGCCAAATATTCTTATAAATGCGAAACTTAAGATGAATGATAGGTTGTTTATTATTGGCATAGATGTAGAAAATAGTCTGGAAGAAAACAGGATACTTATAAAGGTTTTATTTATTTCCACGCGGACTGACTGGCACGCGACAGACTGTTAAAAGTAAAAAGACTGCATCTTTACGATGTTAAGACATAATAATTCTAGAGTCAAGAAAGTTTACGTTCGGAATTAACCAAAATACGTGGACTGATCTCGTGTTAATTAATTTTATTTTAAGAAAAATGACTGAAACTTTTCAACATTTACCGAGCTTTTAGTATAACAGGCAGGATTAGCCGGTCACTCTGAGGGTTTACTGAGCAAATAAGAAAATAAATTGAACGTGTACATTTTACTGCCGAAGTGTCCACATTTTAATGTACAACAAAAATAGTTAAATTTTTCTTAACGACGTAAATATTAAAAAAGAGTCTTAACAGACAGACAACGTCAATTTGATCCTATAAGGGTTCCGTTTCTTTCCTTTCGAGGTACGCAACCCTAAAAAAGAACTTTTAAATAACAAAAGTGGTGATGGCAAGGTATTTGACTGAACTCATGCTTCGTTAAGCGTATTGAATCAAGTTCGTAGGTTGTGTAACGAAATCGATGGACCATACAGCCTGCTGTAAAAGCTTTGGAGTCAGGCGTCAAAGAGAGTTTCTTATATTACGAATTTACAGTATACAAAACTTAGTATTGTTAAAGCATTAAACTTACCCTCATTTTTGGAACTTCCTTTAAAGTTGATTTTTCGCCTTCTTTTCATATTGTTAAAAAACATATTGGGTTTCCTAATAAAATCGCAATAAAAATTGTTGTTTTTAATGGAATTACTTCTTTTAATTTTTTGCAAAAAGCCATTTTTTTTCGACCACCATACACAACACAATACTTTAGAATCTTGTAAAAGAAATTCTAGAAATAATATAATGAATAAACTTACTATTACATAATTTTTCTTAGCAAACTAACAACGTTTCCATGTCGATGTCAAATGAATGAATCTCGCACGCTGCGATATAATTTCAAAGAATTCAAGGCCGCCTCTTCACGGTTACTCTGAGTGAACCTTTTCAATTAGTCCAACTTAAAAGATGCTTAAAATAGCAACTTGATGGGACTTGGAAGCATCACACTGTATAAACACCTACGCGATTTACTTATTAAAACTTAGTTACAACTTACCTACTAAGTTATACAACTTTAAGTTTATGACGTCAAAGTTGTGACGTTCGTGTAAATACTCGTAGTTTTTGACATTTAATATAAGGGTGTGTTAATCTGTATTGAATTGACTGTATTGATTTAAAAACTGTATGACAATTCTCTCCATCTTTATCAACCAAATAAGTAATTAAGGAAATTATCTACTCGTAACAAGATTTACTGAAATAAAACGCAACTTCATAGTTTAACGTTTTTATTGAACGCAATTTGTAATGTCACTAAATATACTACGCTCGCCTAGTTTTAATACTAACAGAAATATATTTGAAAAATTAAAATATATTCAGATCTAATAATTATACTGTACATAAACATAAACAACTGAACATAAGCGAACAGGAATATTTCAATAATATCTTCGTAATATATTCCTATTTTATTTATACTACAAATACAATTCTGCTTAGACATAAAATAGTACATTTGGCACAAAAAGCGAGTATATTAAATTAAAACATAATAATTATAGATTAAATATTCGATGCAATGAAATAATGATCGAATCATTGTATTAATCGATTTTATTTTTTATAATAATAGTGTATACTGGAGCTGGTCAGCATACACCATTTAATAAAAAAAAATAGTTACTAAGGAATGTTATATTTATTTTAATATCTAGTATAAGTGAAGCTTAATAATATTTAGTTATAAATAAAACATAGGGCTTAATAAATAAATTGAATGTAACAATAATGTGTAAACGGAATGTTATTCAGGTCTGTTGTAGCTTGCAAACGGAAGGGAGGCGATCGGGGAATGCGGATTAGTTCTCGTAGCGGGAAGGAGCCTGGTTCGCCCAAAATGCTAGAAAAAAAAACAGATTTTATCAATACATACTAAACATAAACTGCGGTCATTCATTATCAAGAAATATACTTTGTGTAATATGTTTTAGTGGTGTTATATAAACAAATTGCTCTGAGAGATTTAAGTATCCGCTTCTATTTATGCTTCGCCGATAACTAAAATTGTGTTATAGACAGCTTTTCATTAAATTGCGAACCGACCGTTACCTCGCTTGCCGACGTTTTGCAGGAAGAGACGGTTGACGACGGCCTGCCGCTGGTTTGCCTCGCGCATCTGCTTGCGTGCCACCTCAAGCAGCAGCCGTTGCCGTAGCACCTCCATTGGGTTGTTAATCGAGAGGGAAGGCATCTTGCGCTTCGGACGCGACCGGCCCTCCAACCACTCCGACCTCTGCATTGATACCAACATCTTAACATTATTATAGGATCCTAGAATCATAACATTTTGTGTTGACACATATAGCTGTCTCTGTTATGTCAAAGGGAATGTAAGTGATGACAATAAAAAGCGTGTTATAGAGTTTTTGGGTTATAACATGATGTAATACTTTACAAGACGATAAGTGTTATGTATGCGCTTGCACTATGCGTAAATAGGAACGGTCGGCTACGTCCGACGTATACGAAAGGTGACATTAAAGACAGTCTGCACTGAGCAACCGTTGTTTTAATTACTCTCATACTTATCAATAAGTTTAGTTATTTTTGGTGTAATTACTCAATATAAAAGACTGTTCCATCTAGAGATATATTATATTATATTTCAAACTGCAAGTAAAAAAATGTAGTTCAAATCAATAAATTAATTGTTATCTTATGATAGCTAATTGTGTAACAAATATGGCTAATTAAGAATCGATTGCGGATAGAGATTTAACGATTTTTAATAAATTAACGAATATACATTCCTTTGGCAGGAAAAGAAAAAATACTATATTTGTTACCCCAATAATTGTTATTATCACAATTCCCGCTAGATGTTGGCAAGTTGTATAACAACATCCAATTGACAGCACTCATGGACATGATCTAATTACTCATCTCACTTTTATGTATCCGAATATCACAATATTATATTGAGAAAAATGAAATTAATATCAGTTAAGTGATAAGTAACATATTCTGTTGCAAACAATATCGAATACTAAGAAAGTGTTTTCTGACTAAATACGTTATAATAATAGTTTTAATAATTGAAAAATAAAATAAATAAATATAAAGTTAGTTGTTTTTGAGTAGTAAGTAATTAATATAAATTACTAGCTGTAGCCCGCGACTCCGTCCGCGTGGATATATAAAGAAAATATATAATAGAATAAAAAAAACATATAGATAAGTTAAATTAAAATCAGCTCTTCAAGACATAAATTACAAAAAAAATTAATAAATGGTATCCTATCTCCGTCTCCCGGCTCTAAGCTACCTCCTCACCAATTTTTAGCCATATCGGTAAAGCCGTTGTTGAGCTATAAATAGTGTAACTAACACGACTCAAAGCAGAAGACCGCGTATTGAGAAAGTCATTGGGGTGGGCTATAATTATGATGATAGAGTGTTAAGTATGATAACAAATTATATTGGGTTTTATAAAGTTTTTAAGAACATAATCTCAATCTTTTTTATTTTGATGTAGCTAGTTGAATTGTGAACATTGTTTATATTGAATTCAACACTAATTTCAAGGCAAGGATTTAAAATGATACAACTAATCAATCGAGATATCTTTTATTGCACTTAATAAGAAATTTAAATTAATAATACCGTATTACTAAAACAAATTACAAATAAACTGAATTCATAAAATAAATAATACATCTACAAATTATATTCTATCCAATTATAATTCAATAAGTTAAAGTCTTACAGCTCATATTACATTAATTACAATCAAACTAGACTAGAATTTGTCATTTTTGAGGTTATATGGTATGTAGAGGATAAAATCTAGATAAAATCTATACATAACAAGCTTATTAACATTCTTTTGATCAATGATGTCAACATTGTCAATCATAAGTCGATATTCCATTTTCTCCAATTTATTTCTTAGTAGAATCTTGCTACTTCTTCTGGTATCCATTGGAAAGCTGTAACAATTTTAATACTTGATTATTCCATGATATTTTCATTACATAAAAAATGTGCCTACAAAATCAACAAATTGCCAAGTCTACAAAAAAATATAAAATGAATTATTTTAAGAAAATATATAAGATTTTTGCCATTTGTTAAACGACAAAGTTATGTAAAAAAGAGGTCTTAATAAACATACCTCGTTTTCCGATGCCGTTCAAGAAGTTCCTGTTGGCGACAGCTCGGAGGGCTTGAGCCTTTCGCTCCTGTTCTTGGCTTAGCTTATGTCGCAGCACAGACATCGGCAGGTCGATGGACAGCGAGGGCATGCGTCGCTTCACCCTGCCACTTACAACCTTCATCCCCAACCCACACTTTTATTAACACGCTTGTAATGATTTATTAATTGTTATTTTCTAAAAAGAATACTAATTACTTTAAAATTCAAATAGAATAGTTAAGTATGCAAAAATCTTATGTTTTAGAGTAACAATATAATATTTTGTGTGTATTTTGGCAGAATACGAGTTGGAAGGAAAAGAAAGTCGTGGTTAAGAAACATCCAGGAATGGACCACTATTGCCAGCGTTGAACAACTTTATCGCTCGGCACAGGACAGCGATAGGTTCGATGAGCTGTCGGACAACTTCCAGTGATGGAGAGGCATTAGAAGAAGTATGTATGTATATTTATGTGTTCGTGTTGTGAGTTATAACATATTAGATTTTTAACCTTAACTGTGAGGACACAAAATGAAAACAATGAAAATGTGTAAAGATTAAATACTTTATTTTAAACACTTACATTAACTTTTTAATTACAAATTACGAACAATTAATATATTTAACGTTAAACATTAGTAAATTCAAATATTATAAAGTCAAACGTAACATTCAATCAAGGGCAGGACGGGAGATATTCCTTTTTATATCAGTTCAGTGCTTCAGTCTGCAGTCAGCGCTGTTCATGGGATCTAAAAAAGAAAAAAAAAGATTGAAAATCCAATGAATAATGAAAAATATAAAAATAATGTAATAAATAATATCACTATGTAATTTTAACAGAAAAATATGTTAATATTGACCTGAACAATATGAAGTTTTTACCTTAGCAAAATAATTTTTGTGACAAACGTGAGAAATCTTAGTGAATTTCACATTTTTCAGCAGTACTTAGTGTTTAATTACTATATTTAATGTTTGCTGACCTCGTTTCCCGACGCAGTTGAGGAAATTTCTGTTGGCGTGGGCCAGCCTCTCCATGTAGTTGTTGTACGCTCCCCTTTGCAACACTTCCATCGCGGGATACACGGAGATTGTACTACGGGATCTCTTCCCGTCCACTTTTACCTTTACAGACCTTATGAACTTAACACCGAGCCATAGCTTTATGTGCTTAAAACTTTATGAACCAAAATACTTACGAAACATTTTATTATTTCAAAATACGTCCACTTGTTATAAATAATCAAATATACACTTTTAAAAGTCAAGTTTAAACTTTCTTTTTTTGACGCAAGTATGATTAAAAGTCACATGATATTTAGTTAAATTGGAAAGTTGTAAATGAAGTACATTGTAAATGTTTTAATTGTTCTGCTAATAACAGGGACACTTTTACCTGTTAGCAAAGGGTTCGAGTAAATCTCGGACGATTAAAATAACAAAGCGGAAAATGTTACCGAATCGAATCCGACGTTTTTCCTCGTTCGTAAATTGTTTTAATGGTTCTGTTAATTAATTTGTTCAACGAAGATGTTAAATCCGTTTACTTTTACACTCTACTTTTTCTGTTTGTAAATAAAAATAGCAACGTTATTTCTGACATATAAATTTTATAGCTACAGTATGTAGAAAAAGTGTAAAGCTAACGTATAGGCCGTTATGTAGATTTTACATCTAAAAAAGAAGTGGGTAGCAGTATGAGCAGTTGTTCTAGTCAGCATTAAATCATTTATGTTTTTCTTTACATTAAGTATTATCGGGTTTTTATTTAAGTTTGAAACAGAGAGCGTATAATATAAAAGAAGACGGTAAACTCCAATGATGTAAGATATTAAAATTATCTACATAATTTAAGACGTCATTACAGTTAAAGTTATTTGTTGAGCTAAGGTTTACGGTATGTTAAATTTATGATGGAATATCTACTACTCTACACTACATTCCTTAAGATAATTCATTACTTACCGTACTATGGTATTCCAAACATAAATTTAAACGATCGATATATTAGATAATTTTAATTTTAACATTACTATAAAGTATTAGTAAGTCAAAACGTCAATGACCTTTTAATGTACTAACTTATAATTATAATAGTTTACCTGAGAATCCTTCGGCATGTCAGCGAGCATGTAGAGCCAGGGAGCAGCAGCTGCGTAGCGCCCGCCCAATGGTGCTACTGCGTTGCCCATGCTCTCCTGGTACAACAAATATTATTTGTTAATATTTTATGTAAGATCAGAAACCATAAAACATTTAATATAAAGTTGGGAAAATACGAAATGAAATATTGGTTCTACAAATATGTTTGAGAAGACACAATTTGACGTGAAACTCCAAGTTGGGATTCGCTTAAAATGTTCTCTGTTGTGATGTATTATATGTAATACATAGTCTATTTTGCAGAAGAGAATGAAAGAGATGAAAATATGTAATTAAAGTGTCACTACAGTAAAGTTTTGAGGTATCAACAGTGCCTAACTACTTCATAAAATAGAATTCTCGTTTGTGAACTCTTGTAATCTTAAATAAACTGTACAGTTTTTTTATGAGGGAATTTAAAGTACACTGTATCGCATTATAAGTTGAAGTATTCCATAAGTAGTTACAAAATTTCAAACAAGATATATCATGATTTATACAGTAAAGTTGTTTCGCTTTTGCACTACATACGACGACGTCGTACTTGAGCTGGGAAAAGGTACGTATTTTGACAAAATTCAACAGAATACCTCTCCGCCTGCGGCAGAGGGAAATCGTTCCGCCTTTGAGGACAGATATGTAAATATGAAAGCAAAGGACGTGTTGCGATCGTGGAATTTAAACTAAAATATTTACTTTAAATCAAATTTAAAAACGTCAACAATTTTCCTCTTTAAGATACAGAACCTAAGCGATATGTTGTCCAATCGTAGCAGACATGTTTAAATATTTAAAGATCACTTTATGTGGTTCTCTATGAGACTTAACTTGAATTATTTCATGAATATTACGTATCTCTTGAGTCTCGGACAGTGTAATCCTATTCATTACTATAAATTGTATAGAATAATAAATTAAATATTCAATGTAAAGTTGCAGCAATACGTTAAAAGCCGTCTCGTAAGATAGACCGAATAATGAAGTTGGCTTTTTACGTTTAGTTACGTTTAGTTTATTACATCCTACGTTCCTACTCAAAATGAAGATCGAATTAGTACTAGAAGATGTTATTCTAAAATTAATTTACTCCTATTTTTATTCAGCTCACTATGCGTCAACACTGAGGAGCTCGGAGCCTTCCCTAAGTTAAAACTGACTAGGCCATAATCAACATCGCTGGCCCTTTGTGGGTTGGTTAACTTCACACATATATTTACTCCTATACCATAAATAATATATGTGCGAATAAAGTATTTAAGATTTTTCATTTAAAAATAAAATTCACTTTTAATGAATTTATTAAATTCGTGCTGCAAATCTCTTATTACAGGAAACAAGCGACGTCATGTAAAAAGTCAACTCAAAGTAATTAAACCTGTCGATCCCAACACTAATCAATTTATTTGCGTTTCGCACTATAATTGGGAGGCCACGGCTTAATTGGCTTAACAAAATGTTAATTTGTAAATAAATATTTAAATAGCCATTTGTGACAAAATAACACCGTTGAAGTAGTTTAACATTGTGCTGTATTAAGGGGCTTAACACTAATTTATTTTATTTGAAACAGTACAATACCTGCTATTTATTATTTCAAAACTTGTTATTATAGTACGGTTTTAAAGCTATTACTGTTGAGCTAGACATTACAAAATCAGTTCATATATTAATAATTCCGACATCTTTAGTTTTAACAACTTCTTTTTGTTCTTGTCTGGCATTCTGCATGCTTCAATTTTCACCTCAATTTTGATTTTAAGTGTTAAGTCAAAGTGCTTTGTTTAATTAATATTCGAAACTATCAATATTGTTCAATAGTACTTACGTCGTCAGTAGTGGAAGCGTCGATCTGTTCCCAGTCGGCAGAGGAGATTGGTACCAGGCCGTCAGAAGGCGCGGCGGCCGCCATCGCGCCGGCTCCCATCACCGCCACGCACCACACTGCCCACCACATCTGCCAAAAACAGCGTCAAGTTAATACGAAACAGTTTTGATACTTTGTTGATACAACTTTGGGAAGCGTAATCAATACATATTCAATTGATAATTTATTTTTAAGTTAATTCTATTTAAAAATTGTTTTTACCCTATTAAGTAAAAGTGGGGTGCGTCGTATCAGCCTTGCGATGCGCGTCGGATTTAAGTCGACTGAGGATTTTAACCCTTACCAAACACAGTCAACAAACTTTCAACAAATATTTATAGCTAAAAATATCAGTCGCTAAGTCTATGAAAAATTTAATATTAATTTAACCAAAAAGGACAACAAATCTAGACAGTAAATATTCTCCAGTCACCTTTTCCAGTTGACTATCTATAAAAGTTCATAAAATCCAAAGAAACTAGAAATAAATTGACTTCACAAGCTATGGAATCGTTACTAATTTAAAAATAAATAACTAATTATGTACTTTTAGTTCAAAACACCCTTTGGTAAGTCCATAGAGTGTCGGTTAATTAGAATCAATACGTGGCAACAAGTGAAATCACATGTCCGTTCTCATGCTCCGAGGTTTGCGGTGAGAATTTACTTCATTTGGAGAATACTCGAAGGCACTTTATTTGTAGAGGCCTGGGAAACTTTTGCCGTTTATGTCGCCCACTTGTCCTTTGTGATACGAACATTTTCTATTTATTTATTGTGAATAATACGAAATAATTTATTTGCTAACATTTAACTTTTAAATATAAAGTTGAAGTTTGTAATCCAATCCAATTTATTATGTCAACATGAGTTAATATGGTTAAAATTTATACGTTATTACTATTTACAATTCGTTTATGTGATCAGGAATACATATGGCTATCGTATAAAGCCGCATGCTTTCTTTTATTTTAATTCTTTTGTTAGCTTTTCCATCAATTACAACATTTGGTATAATTAAAAAAGGAAAATGCATACATTATTTTAAAAGCTATACAATTAAATTAAAACAAGACATAAAATACTTTGTTAAAGTTTTAATCCAACAAATGATAAAAAATATAAGGTTCTCTCATACATTACTTCCGTTAGATTTTTCAAGTCCTGATTTTATATATATCTGTACTGTTTATAATTTCACGCTCCATAGACGCTTCAGTTTCATGACCCATGTGCGCGTTAAAGAATTTATTGTTATTATCACATTTGTTTTTAATTTTGAATAAAAATTCTATATTAACAATCGTTTATAATATTTGATAAAATAAAATCTTGTAAATCTTTACTTTATTTATCGATAATATTTACAAACATATGTAAGTCTTTAATAGTGATCGATAACCAGTAAGGGCTAAAAAAATCTTTTATTTACGGCTGCATTATTTGCATTTTTAATTTATAATATTTTATCAACATCATCAGCTCACTATGCGAACCCACTTAGGGACTCGGAGCCCCCATAATTTAGGGGGTGACTGTACCATAGTCAACCACACTCGCCATTTTTTTTCGCAGACATATGCAGGATGCATCACGATGTTTTCCTTCAACGTAAGAAAATATTATAATAAATACTAAATGCCTGATTAAGCAAAATAAGTATATTTCTTACTGTAGACATTTGGGTTTAGATTGTCTTAATACTTGATTGTAAATAAAATGTTTCTGTTATCTACTATCTTGTGTGTTCACATATGTAATATATTAGCGTAGTTAAGCCGCAAAGTCTTTACCGAAAGCCACGAAGCAAGTGACACAGCTAATGTGTAGAAAAGCCTCCTTTACTTTAAATTACATCGCTGCCTCCGCACATCTTACGTTCAGACAAATTGAACGAAGCATTTAGATGTGAAATACTTGGAAACTAATTCTTTCTAGAATTTATACGCTATTTAAAAGTTTTTTTTTACATTTTTAGATACATTTCTACATTTTTTTTACTTTTGTTCATTTTTGTTAAGTTCCTGTTCAGCTCATATCTTTAAAGTTATAGTTAATTTTAATAGCCCAAGTAGTTTTAAGGATAATTTCTATAAATTAAGTAGCAATTGACTGAACAATAAAAAAAATCATACTTCAACATAGTTAATAAATTTAAACCTTTCGTAAGAACTGAATGAAATGATGTCATTCAAAACTAAGACCTTTGGACATTTTCAACCTTGACTTTGTGAAGTGAATCGCGTTTGACGATGCGATAATTAATGATGTCAAGCGCCACGGCGAAAATTCAATAACCCACCAAGTTATTCACAAATATAAGTGTGCATAATAAGTTCCATCGTACTATACTATCCGTTGAAAATGTTATTAGATTGAATGATCCTTTCATACACTCGATATGCTTTTTAAATCGGTATAGTAGTAGTAACGTTGCAAAATCTTACTGATATTATAAATGCAAATGTTTAAATGGATGGATGGATGTGTGTTAGAATGTAGATAAAGGCTAAATGGATGTGAATAATATTTGGTATAGATGTAAAACACTGTCTAGAAGAACGCTTAGCCTACTTAAAAAGCTCTTTTTTAATTTTCAAAGTCGCGGGCAAAAGCTATTTCTAAATAAATAACGATCGAAAAGGCAACATTGTGTGGTCTTATTATAAGATTTATTTGTTACTTTTTACTACATGAAACTTTAGATATTATTTATTGAAATGTTAGTACATAATGTAGGATATAAACGATGTAAGTACACATATCTTTTGAATACCTTTTAATAAAACGTTGCAGTTATCTCTTTGCTTTGTTATTCTTATATGATTAATTACTCATTCACGCTTCATATTCAAAAGGAAAACTGTATTTACATACTTTTATTATTTAAATCATTTGACGGTTAACAATAACTATTGAAATCTCATCAATAGCTTTATATTTTGTAGGAACAATAAAGTATTTTATGAAATTGATCATTAAGTGATTGATAAGTCAAAGAATTTTTTGATTTTAATTTATTAAACTTATCTTCTAGATTTTTGTTTACATATAATATAAACAGCAGCCCCTACTTTTTGTTTGAGTTTAATGTCAAGGTAAATATGAATTAAAAAAAATAGGCAGTTAGTAACATTTGTTACCGTGACCCTTGATACAGAGGGCCACAATAAATTTGTTTAGATAAGTCAGCTGTTGGAATACTTTTTTTTTGGGTCGCGTTATTTATTGGCACATTTTAATATCGCGGGATCTTGATAACTAAGTTTCTGTACACCTTATCATAAAAACAAAATCATCTAAAATTTTAGTTATCTTTATGTGAATAGGGTTTTTTCTGAAATACTTTTTTTTGGAAATAATGATTTAATGGAATGGAATTTAATAGATTAAATGGAAATAATGTTTTAGTCTAATGGCATAAAGGAGCGAAGCCATACTCGTAGAAAAATTAGGTATCTTATCTCGCCAATGCCACCCTGTACAAATAGGTAAATAGCTATTTTACTTTTGGAAGACATTACACAATAATTTTTCGCAGCTGGATATCAAAATAGTTACCCGCAGCGTAAAATATTGTTATATTTACGTTGCATTTTTTTCCTCATATTCTCCTAAGATTTAACACCACATCTCATTTTTATGGTTCCGTACCCCGAAAGGAAAAAAACGAAACCTCTATAAGATCACTTTGTTGTCCGTCCGTGTGTCTATCAGGACCCTTTTTATACTTGAGCTACTAAATTCAAAATTATTTTTTCTCACTTATTAGACATCTGAAGTTTAATGCATCTACATACATAGTTTTATTATGAAACTCCAAATTTAAATGTCAAAGGTTGTATGTATCAATATTTATTTAATACTTGTATGAAGTCAACCAACCCGCACTGGACAAGTGTGATGGACTACGGTCTAGTCATCCTTAACCTAGGGTAGGCTCCGAGCCCCTCAGTGGGGACGTGTAGTGAGCTGATGATGAATTAATACTCCTCGATGAGAAACATGACATGGATAGGTGATAGCAAGGCATATGGAAGTATCGAACGCAACAAGTGTCAGAGTCACGGCGCTCGAGATTGGACAAATATTGACACGGCTGCGAGCGCCGAGAGCGATCTTTGATTATGAAGAAATGGATTAGTTAAAGGGCCACAATTGTTCTATTATTGATTTTTCACAGAAGGTGAATTAAACGTGACAATCACACTTGTGCCTATCATGCTAATACATACATAAAATTGAGGCATCTTTAAGTATTCAGACTGTGGAGGATATAAGTACTCCCGAGGAGGTTTTGACGTCAGGCAGGCGGCCGGTCAGTGAAAACATTTTAAGTCAAAACAATATTACGGTATGTGTAACAGGATTGACAGCTGATAGAGATGTATGGAGTAGTAGTAGCTACTGTGCCGACCCTCAATATGGATAAGGGCAGGTTGATGATGATGATGATAACTGTGAAGCACTCAAAAATTTCAACACACAGGCAAGCAAGATTAAAAATTATTAATCGTTTTCAATTTACATGGGAATGCGTGCGCTTGTCAAGTCCTATCTTTTAAAAGTCAAAGAGAGCGATGTACTGACAATCGGAAGTCGGCTTCCGACGTACCTCAAGCGAAGCCTTTCATGATGAACCGTACTTTGAGTTCACGTATGAACTCGTTCACAAAGACATTCCATAAAATGACTTGCGTATTCGACAGTCTGAATATCGAACTTAAGTCTTAACTTCGTTAAACTATTCATAAAACTTGATTATATCTGAATTTCCGAATTCTTGGAAATACTTGTATGTATACTCTTAGCATTGGTAATAGCATAAAATTATTACTTTCAAATTTTGAATTAGAATCTTTGCCTAATTTTTGACCAAAGTTCTCTCGTTCTTAACAATTTGAAAAGTTAATTTATACACTTTTGAATTTAACACTAACATATTTTTGCTACGAGTGTTTCAAAGAAAATTAACATTTTAATTTTAATACCTTTGGTAGTCTATATTTTGCTAAAATAATATTATATATTTTTCCAACACTTTAGAAGTCTATTAAAAATATTATATTATATATTTTTTTTTAAAGTAAATCTTAAACGAAACAAACAATTACTAAAAACATTACGACATTATCTTCAAAAGATTTTCGACATTTCTTTTTCTACTTTTTCCATTCGGGACTTATCTGTTATAATAACATTTACTCTAATAAGGTTATTTGTCGTTCAAAGAGTATTTTCGTGATCCATTCAATGTTATATTACTAAGCTCATTTAATCCATTGTTACCTTATGATCTAAGATATAAGCAATATATATTAATGTGAATATATAACGGGATATCCCTCCCGCCAGGACCGCTCCATTACACGAAACTAAATCTATTATGCTCTTATTATGCCATAACTTAGATTGGAAAATTTGTGGATGTAAATGACATTGTAATGGAGATGTTGTCTATGAAAATAGAACTGTATCGAGCAGTGTAAGTAATTTTTATACTAGATGTCGCACGCGACTCCATCCGCGCGGAATTAAAAATAAATTTAATAATCAATGTCATATAGGCTCTGTTCTACTCTGTGCCAAATTTCATCAAGATCTGTTGAGACATTCTCGAGATACCTTATGAGAAATATCCATCCATCCATCTAAATTTTCGCAGTTATTATATAAGTTAAATTACAAAATGGAGTAAACATTCTCTGTACAAATTTATTAAGAAAATCTAGAAGTACCTTAGTTCGTTTACTATTTATAAATATCGCGAGACTGACCCTCGGATTGTTTTATTATGGAATTTTATGAATTAATTAATAAACTAATATGTATATCTAATAATTATTTTATTAATTAATAATGTTTAATTTTAAGATTTTAATATTGTAACTACTTTTTAAGAAAGTTGAAATATTAATTAAACTCAGAAAAACTTTGTTCAATACTTTTAAAATTTTTTAAAAGGTTCTAACAAAGAATAACTAAGTTGAACAGCTTTGTTTATTGCCTTTGAAAATTAATAATTTTGACGAGATAGATTATTAAAGTCAAGTATCCTAGAGATGGTATTGTGTGAATAATTACTTACCATGATTGAGTCTGTTTTGTGGAAACTTGGAGTCGAATGAAATATCTGTAACAAAACAATCCTTTCATAAGAAAAGTATAGACAAATTCGTTAATTCTACTAACATTTTTGAAAGAAAACATTTGACAAGAGTTTTTTTATATTAATATAAAAAAAAGGTTAATTTTTGTTGTCATGGTAATAAGGATGTGACGCTAAAATTACAAAGTTATGAATAAGTTACGCGAGCTTTTGTTCCAATAAGTGTAATGATCGAGCTTTGTGTAATAAAAGCTCCGATAAGAATACGAAATATGCTTATGAGAGTTAGAGATAAAATAAAGCACCTTAATAAATGATCATGTTTAAAACTATATAAAAAAAATAAACATAACAATTTAGATTGTGTAATCTACTTTATGCTACGCATGTAAACTATTAATATTGTCTTTAGTAAACTTCGCGCACAGATTAATAAACGACACAAAGAAAATGCACTAAAGTTGAAATATAATACGTAGAATTGACAAACCTTTGTAAATTAGTCGTTTTTAATTAATTGCCCGGACGCGATGTTCAATTCGGCTCTATCTCGGACGCTTGACGGTAATGAAATTTTACCTATCATGACGCTCTCCCAGTACAAAGAGGTATGATCGACATGACCCAATTCGGGCATAGTACTGAGCGAATCTAGAACACGACAGCGTTCACCTGTTTCACTTTTAGTGGTCCTTCCGCAACAGTTTCGTTGTAAACAAACCCTTAATAGATATATGATAGATACTGAATTAAAAAGACCTATGATTTGTTCAAATGCTTTTTGTTAATGGAGCATCCATTGCGTATTCAGTTACCGGGTATGTCAAAATGTTTTAAGGCCCTGGTAATATTTATTGATTTTAACTGGGGGGAAAAAAGAAAAAACCATTTTAACGGACATGCATTTAAAAACTTTCCCATTATTCTATATTATTCGTTCACGATTCTTGTAAATACTTAAGTCTCATAGTTCATGCGTAACTTAGTCTTAGTTTCAATGTACATTTTATTCTGTAAAATGCGCATATCAATACATTTCTCAAACTTACAAACATATAAAAGCAATAAACTCTATGTAGAAACGTTTCGCGAGACATTGGCTATGGTTTTAAAGCTCTATGAAATCTTTTTACTGCATTTCCGATACCAAGACTAAAGAGGTTTCTAGGTTTATGCACATATTATTAAAATAGACTAAAATTGTAATAAATATGACAAGTAAAGAAAAGTCAACGTTCTTAAGCATTTAAAGAAATGAGGGGAAATTATAGATTCGAACTCTACTGTGTACTATTTTTACAAAGAGTTTTAAAATTAATCTACTTAAGCTATAAGTGTTCTGAACGATTTTATATATTTTTGCCAGCAAAATAACATCTTGTAGTTTATTTACAAACAAAAACCTAATATCAACAACAATTCATTTTTAAATATTTAATATAATGTAAAGTTAATTTTATAAATTTAATCAGTATCAAATATTACACATAGAGTTAAGGACTTGTTCAATATTTATAATACATCAAAGTAGTATTAATGTAAATTTATTAATTAAGATGATTATTAAACGTAAAGATTAGTTCCAATTATAACAGTATAACGACATAAGTTCTTATTTGATCTTACGCATTTCAAACATACAAACGTACTAGAATATTTGAATGTTTATTAAAAAAACTTTGTTACATTAAAATTAACTTTTTTCCCTCTCCGGTGTTTTTTTTATATCATACGGTGGCAAACGAGCGACCGGCCACCTGAAATCGCTGAAATAGCGAAGTGACCGCTGCCCATAGACAAACGCAATTGCATATGCGTTGCCTACCTTTAATCGACGGAGGAGAGGATGCACAGAAAGAAAATATCTTCCTTTTCCATGCATTCTCTCATCCGGAAAGTCCACTTCCACTTCCCATCCTTATAAAGAAAAGGATGGGAAGGGAAAGAGGACTATATTAATTAGGCCTCCTGGACGCACACTCATCAGACGAAACGCGGAATACATAGCTTCCACTTCACGCCTGTCTTCAGTGTGGTCGTGGTATTTCACCGGGCGAGTCGGGCCTCTACCACTATTAAAGTATAAAGTCGGGCTAAGTTTTTTTATATTTTATCTAAGTTATTCTTTATGGTTAAAACTCAGAGGCTTCATCGTGATTTGGTTAGCGATTGTTGAGAACAATGCGGTGCACGATGACACCAGTAAAATAACTATAACGAAGTAAATCGATTCTGCCAGAAACAAGGCTCGATACTCACACTATAAACACTTGAGCGTTTAATTACCTGCCCAAATATCGGCTCGAGAATCCCACTTTATCGTCTAACAGTAACAGGTTAAAGCTTTTTGTTTTAGATGGCGTAAAACCAATCAAAATTGCCACAGTTAGAAGAGTTTAGTTTTCTTGGTATGAATTTTTATAATGAACTCTTTTGCTTGCTTTGTTCTCGACCATGCCGGTTAAATATAAATATCAATTTAAAAAACATGTCGCTAAATAACATAACTAGGTAAAAATACAGCAAAATTCTATCATATAAAATTTGACTGACAAAAAGTATGAAATATTTCTTCTTTTGCTAAGTTGAATCGCACATAAATTGTATTTTGTGAAGCGCTTACAAACATTGTGTTTAATACTTTTCTAAACTCACACTGCGAGCTACGGAGCAACTTTTCAACAACGGAAATCGCTTTCCACGACGTAATCGAGCCGAAACGAAAACAAAATTAATTGATAACTTTTAAAAGTTTAAAGCAACAATAAACTTTGTATGAACCGCTTCAGTTGTCTTAATTAACATTATTCGAAAACTCATCAAATTAACTACAGATACAGAAGTTTACCAAATGTAAGTGATAATAACTAAAAAAAACCCTATTAAATTTAAATTGAACAAAAACTGAGGCCTTATAAATATACTGACAATTTCGTATCTGCTATAACTATGTTTTTAGATTTGACTTCAAGAAAAATTCAACGAGTATAAAAGGTAATAAAATTATATTAGGTATTTGAGTATTTCTATTATTTAAGTATTTAAGTCTCCGTCACATTTCTGCGTTTAATACACATTGTTATCTCTGTTTTGTGAAAGATGAAAGTCAAGGCTGGCTATGTCTTCTATACAGAGATTTTGGTGTCAAACCCACGCACAGTTTAGCAAAGGCAAGCCATTAAAGTATTTTTTATTTTACTTGCTGATATTTCGTTAAATAATAAAATATATATTTGTCTTACGTTTTAATTACTAAAATATTAAGGTTAACAATCGTTAATTTATATAGAAATTTAAATATACTACTTTTACATTTCATACAATTGTATTTTACATGTCTATTGAATATTCCGTTACGTTGGCGTTTGAAGATCTGTAGATGATTGGAGTAATATTATTAATTGACCGTGTAGAACATGATTAGCAGTTAGTTTATGCAATTATGATTGTTGAATGTCAATACGTGATCTGATTCTGTTACGAGGGGCATTGTGAGGAGACAACAGTGGACGTGCCTCAGAATGACAGCTATTTATGTTAAGTAATTGGAATTATATGATTTCATATGCTAATAATAACTGGTGAGTTGTGTTAGTATGTCTTTATTTATTATAAAACTAACCCGCGCCCGCGACACAGCTCGCGCGGAATTAAAAAAAAAACTTTAATTACATCTTTGACAAATTTCAGTAAGATCCGTTGAGCCATTCCGAAGAAGCAAACAAACATCCATCCATCCCAACATTCGCATTTATAATATTAGTAAGATATAAGATTTGATTTTTTTACTTAAATGATTTACTGTCAACAAGGGCCACGAAAATTAATCAACAAAAGTTGCTTACATAAAATTTATTATAACCCTAAACAAACCAAAAAGTTAATCAAGCAAATATTGGAATATTGAACTTTACATTAGTATAATAAATTGTTGCTTATGAAAACATGGTCGTCGACTCTGGGGAATTAAAGTGAGTTTCTGTTATTGTTTGCTGCACTACAATGTATCCACATAGAGGAAATCTGTGAAAATATATTGCATCCACATTCATAATGATTCAAATCTCTCACCTTACTTTCTCCATTGTGTACAAAATATGTTAATGGTATAGCAAACATATATCTTGAGTCCTTACCAATATTTTCAACCTTATAATGAAAAAAAACTTCGTATGAAAATTGCAATCGAACAATGTTATCAAAACTTTGTCGAGCTGTTTTGATTAACTTAAATCGTTTTTGATTACAGTTCCGTATACAAACTTCCCACATCATAGTCGATTTAAATCTTGATATCGAACTAACTTTGTATTACACATTATATCGGATACGAGATTTTATTTTTTGTATTGATTTTTTAACAATTGCATTTATCTCTAATTATCATATCCGTAGATTCAGATATGGCTGATAGAGATGTATGGAGGAGTACATACTGCTGCCGACCCTCCGTAAAGATTGATGATGATTAAGTATCCTTATAGGTTTTTTTAACTTATATTCTTCAATATCCTAATCATTCAATTAATTACACATAATTTCGTCTATACATTTTAAAATTAATGTTCAATTATGTTTCGTCTTTACATCAACTTAGAACAAATAACATTTGAAAACACTACGATATTTCTCTTTTTCTTATATCAAACGTATTACTCTCAATTCGTAAGCCTCTTTTTTACTTAAAACACAAAAGGAATATTACAAATGTATGTAATGTTAAATATTTAATTGTGTTGTTATAATAGTCTATTGTGTAAATCTTAATTTGTATACAAGATTTGGCTGAGGCTTGAATATCTCTTGTAAATTCATTATAGTGGACAATAGCAGAAGCATGAACGCGTTATCTTGGACCTTAATTAATTAATTCCCGGCAAAGGGACACAGGAATAGACTCAGCTTGGTAATTTTATGCGATACTTATAATACATATTTTTTTAAATTTGCCTAAAAGCTCCATTTCAAGATACAACGTTATTTATTTTAATAGTTAATTGCCGTTCTTGAGACTTAGTAATGAGACTTAGTTATGTGACTTACTTTATGAGATTTAGTTTATGAAACTTAGTTCATGAGACTTAGTTCATGAGACTTAGTTCATGAGAAATAGACTGTAGTTAATTGTAAATATTATTGTTACAAATGTACAAATAACTAATAGAAAAGATGTGTGGCTTCGGAACCATATATAATTTAAAAAGAATTCACGATAATTTTAAGGTTATGTACATATGAACTTTCGTTTAATTGTCTCTAACTAAGGTAACATATATCAAGTAGCTTAAATAAACTTCTGTGGCTTTAATTCGTTTAGTTCGAGAAACCATTATCATATTGTCATGTAAAATTTAGAGAAAAACAAAGCACATAATTTACTCTAAGTCGCGTTAACAATAAGAACGCCTATGAAAATTCATTTGCTGCTTAAAAATACGCTAATTAAATTAAATGACATTAAGCCAAAATGTATCATTATATTCAAGGGTGTATTCCGGTTGGGAATTATGTTAAACAGCCGCTCTCCGGACATAAAGAACGGCTAAAAAGAAAAAAGCGTCCGAGATAAATTAACGCTTTAAAAAGTGCAAGAAGAGATAAAAAACATCTTTAGTTAAATTTTCGTCCGTCTTTCTAAAAAAGAGAACAAGGAATACAAGTTTTAAATAAAGTAAATCCTTTATAATAAACTATGCATAAAATTGTGTAAAAATGAAAAGAAATAATTTTAAAACCGTGCATTTATTCACATAAAATGTAAACTATATACACTAAACGTTGCAAAAGTCGAGTTGTCAGGCGTCAGGTGGAAACGTGTTATACCGCTGATGTAGTTTTTTTATGTTTTTTTATGAAGCCGTATCATTCTTCATTTCTTTACGTGCCAGTGTTTTGTTGCTCATCATATTTGTAGTGTTTGTATCTGTACCATAGGTATAGATAATACATTGTCTCATGTACACCAGTAGATGGCAGCCGTCAACCTGTCATTCCGGCGTTATACTCGGTGAAGGTTGGACGTGTGCGTGCACTGGATGTAGTGGTGAGCCAGTGCAACAGAGATAGCAAGCAGAGTGATTACTACATGTGGCGACGAGCGTAAAGGTGAGTAGATAAAACATTTATAAAAAAAAAAAAAAAAAACGGAGGAAGAAATTGTAAAATAAATTAGTTGTTGTACAATCTTAATATCATAAATGGAATGTAATAACGCTCTGTTACTGGATGGAGCGACTTGGTAACTAATTTGTTAGGTCGTTATGAAAAGAGCGTACGTGAAGGAATGCGGGTGAGTCATCTATGCCTGTCCATTTCACTTTATACAAATGTTTAAAACTGCTATTTAAAATACGATTTGTTTTCGATTCGGTTTGCTGCAATATTATTCGTGAAAATGAAATGATGATATTTTCACATATATACTTAATCAGATAAATATATTTTTGTAAATTTACCTATAACATGTATTACAACATTTTATGTGTTTAACAACGAAATTCCTTTGCGAAATAATATTATATTATGTCATTACCAAAGAATGGGCGTACAGGTTAGGAATTTATGGATGTTGATATGGTTTAGTTTCACAAGAAAATGTCCGACATCTACTGTAAATAATTTCCACTCCGGATTTCCATTAGATTGGAAATAAATACCTACAATACAGAAATAATTTTAGATTTTCATTCAATTGAAAATAAATTATAACTTCGGATCTCCATTAAATTGGAGGTATGTTATGTAATTCATTAAATTGAATTTAAGCTACATTGGACTTCATAAGAAGTACTATATGAGAGTACTGCTTTGTACTGTACGCCGGACTTTCATTAAATTGAAGGTACTTGACGTCCATTCAATTGGGTGTGTTTCAGGTCGCGCAAAACGATTAATCATGGCAAACCAGCTACCACCACCTGAAAAATTAGACATCGAGGGCAACAGTACGTCAGCCGGTTTGAGATGGGAGAAATGGAAACGCTCCCTGCAAATCTATCTGGAAGCCACTGATATCACGGTTCCAGCTAAAAAAAGAGCTATATTACTAGTCCTAGGCGGAAGTTCACTGCAGGAAATATTTTATAATTTGCCTGGAGCAGATATAGAAGCTGGAGAAAATGTTGATATTTTTAAAGTAGCCATTAGCAAACTAGATGAGTACTTCCTTCCAAAACAAAACAAGACTTTTGAACGGCATATTTTCCGCCTTACTAAACAAGATGAAGGAGAAAGTTTTGAAAAATTTCTTATTAAGTTAAGAGATCAGGCTGCAAAATGTAAGTTCGAAAAACCAGAAGAGCATATAATCGACCAAATACTAGAAAAATCTTTATCATCAGAATTAAGAAGGAAAATGTTAACAATGGGTGAAGAAATTACATTAGACAAAGTGATTACTGTAGCCAACACACTAGAAATTGTAAACTACCAATTGGAGTGTTACGAACAAAAAGAAAAGAATAACACAAATGAAGTAAATACAATAAAAATTAATAACACGAATAATTCAAGATGGACTAGACAAGAGAAAGAGTTGAATGAAGAGATAAAGACGTCAAAGTGTACAAGATGTGGGAGTTCTGCACACGTCTCTCAAAACCTTCCTTGCCCAGCGAAAGACAAAAAATGTAACGGCTGTGGAAAATTAGGTCATTACCAAAAATGTTGCAAAACGAAATCAGTCCATCGGAAACGTAAACATGCACAAAATCAAGAAAAAGAATATAACTATAACAAGCGACAGCGAAAAGAAACTACAGTGAATTCTGTGGAAAATGAAGAAATACAATATATATTTAATTTGAACGACGACGCAACAATCAAATGCGAGATAGGTGGTGTAAAATTAGACATGTTAATTGATTCAGGATGTAAATTAAATTTAATATCAAATAAAACCTGGAAACTATTGAAGGAAAATAAAATAATCTGCGACAAACAGGTAAAAAAGCCAAATAAGATATTATTAGCATATGGAAGTAAGACACCTCTACAAATTGAAGGTTCTTTTGAAGCAGTAATAAAAGCGAACAGCAAAACTGAACGCGCTACTATTTATGTCATTGAAGATGGAACACGGAACCTCCTTGGTAAAGACACTGCATTACGATTGGGTGTATTGAAACTAGGCGAGGATGTAAATCAGGATAAACAGTTTTCAAAACAATCCTTTCCAAAATTTAAAGGTATTTTAATTGAGATTCCTATTGATCCAACAGTGAAACCAGTCATGCAACCCTACCGGAGAACACCAATACCGTTAGAGGAAAAGATAAATATGAAAATCAAAGAATTACTAGATTTAGATATAATAGAAGAGGTTCATGCACCTTCATCATGGGTTTCTCCTATTGTTCCTATCCTTAAGGATGATGGCGATGTACGCTTATGTGTTGATATGCGACGTGCTAACTCAGCCATTTTAAGAGAAAACCATCCATTACCTTGTATGGAAAGTTTACTACCAAGAATAAATAAAGCAAAATATTTTTCGAAACTTGATATAAAAAACGCATTTCATCAAGTAGAAATTCACCCAAAATCAAGAGATGTGACTACTTTTATAACGTCAAATGGCCTTTATAGATATAAAAGGCTTATGTTTGGAATTACATGCGCTCCAGAACTCTTTCAAAAAATTATGGAGAAAATGCTTATTAAATGCGAAGGGGTTACAAACTTTATTGATGATATATTAATCTGGGGTAGAAACGAGAGAGAACACGACTTACGACTTGCCAAAGTAATGGATGTATTGGAGCAAAATGATGTATTGTTAAACGAAAAGAAATGTATTTATAAAGTACAGACAATAAACTTTTTGGGACATGAACTAAAACTGGAAGGAGTAAAACCGCTGCCGAAATATATAAAGAGCATATCCGAATTTAGAGTGCCAAGAACTATAGAAGAGTTGCAAAGTTTTTTAGGTTTAGTTAATTACATAAATAAATGGATTCCAAATTTAGCCACGACGACAGAACCACTGAAACAATTACTAAGACTGAAACTAGGACATAAAGCAAACATAGAAAAATACTGGAAGAAAAACCAAAATGAAGCATTTAAAAAATTGAAAGAAATACTATCTAAAATAGAAACTTTAGGATATTATGACGTAAATGACAGGACGCAAGTCATAGCAGATGCAAGTCCTGTAGGACTTGGCGCAGTCTTAGTACAGATTGATAGTAAACGACCAAGAATTATTGCTTACGGAAATCGAACACTAAGTCAATGTGAAAGAAAATATAGTCAAACAGAAAAAGAAGCTCTTGCCCTTATATGGGCTATCGAACATTTTAACATATTTCTATTCGGTAAAGAATTTGATTTGATAACGGATCACAAGCCACTAGAATTTTTGTTTAGTCCAAAATCAAAGCCATGCGCCCGTGTTGAGAGATGGGTTTTGCGACTTCAGGCGTATCGCTATAATGTTAAATATAAACCGGGAAAAGCCAATATTGCGGACCCATTATCCCGGCTATGTAAGTACACAGATAAGACAACTCAATCGTCCGAGGATAATTATGTTCATCAGATAGTTGAACTTGCGAGGCCTTGTGCAATCTCCATGCAACAAATAATAAAGGAATCGGCAACCGACCAAGAAATCACAAATGTTAAAAATGGAATTTATAGCAACCAGTGGGACGAGTCTGTGAAATCATATAAAATATTTTCGGACGAACTGTGTTTCTATGAGAATATACTTTTGAGAGGAAACAAGATAGTTATTCCTGAGAGGCTCAGAAAACAGGTTTTATTAGCAGCCCATGAAGGCCATCCAGGAATTGTTGCCATGAAGGGTCGGCTTCGTTCAAAGGTTTGGTGGCCCCGGATCGATAAGGACAGCGAACAAATGGTAAAAAGCTGCAAAGGATGCACCCTCGTAAGTTTACCAAATCCTCCAGCACCAATGAAACGCCGAGAACTTCCATCTGAACCTTGGGTTGAAATAGCGATGGATCTGTTGGGTCCCTTGCCTAATAACGACTACATTCTAGTCATTATTGACTATTACAGTCGCTATAAAGAAATTAAGATCACTAAGACCATAACAAGCGTGACAATTATTAAAATTTTAAAAGAACTCTTTAGTCGACTGGGCTATCCTATGTCGATCACTGCTGATAACGGCCGACAATTTGTAAGTGAAGAATTTAAAGATTTTTGTCGAGAGTGTAATATTAAGCTTTTTAATACCGTACCGTATTGGCCACAAATGAATGGTGAGGTGGAGCGTCAAAACAGAGACATAATAAAACGACTAAAAATAAATTCGAGTGAAAAACAAGAGATGAGAGAAGCTCTATATGAATATCTAATGATGTATAACTCCACTCCTCATTCTGTTACGGGAAAGACGCCGTCAGAACTGTTTTTCAAAAGAATGAACAGGGATAAAATTCCCATGATGAAAGATATATACGAAATGGATAATGACACCGAAGTTAGAGACCGAGACGAAATGCAAAAGGAAAAAGGAAAGGAGTATGGAGACCGGAAAAGAAGAGCGGGAAACACTGACCTGACGGAAGGTGACAAGGTATACGTCAAGGAAATGGAAAAGAAAAATAAGCTCTCAACTATTTTCAACCCTACACCACATGTAGTGGAAAAATCAGTAGGAGGGGATGTTACAATAAGAAACGAGGAAACTGGCCAGAGGCTACGAAGGAATGTGGTGCACCTAAAGCGTGTGGAAGGTCAGTGGGAATCAGTAGAAGATGAAGCTAATAAAAAATGAAGATCAGAAAAGCAAAGAGAATGAAACAATAAAAGTGAATAGTTATGACTACATTAGATTGATTGTATAAGTACAAATCACTAAATAATAAATGATTATTTAATAAGCTTGATTGTTTGATTGATAATATTACACTAAATAAAATTTGTTAAAAAGGAAGGGATGTAGTGTTTGTATCTGTACCATAGGTATAGATAATACATTGTCTCATGTACACCAGTAGATGGCAGCCGTCAACCTGTCATTCCGGCGTTATACTCGGTGAAGGTTGGACGTGTGCGTGCACTGGATGTAGTGGTGAGCCAGTGCAACAGAGATAGCAAGCAGAGTGATTACTACAATATTCAAGCTCATGTTTTATGTCGGAACTCACTATTTTATTTTCTGCGCTTTCACACACCGATAAAAAACTTATTTTAATTTTAAAACTACGTCATATATTATACATAGATGTCTATGTATATTTACTATATACAGAATTGTGTATTTAATTGTCTACATATCATCCGTATTTAATTAACATATTTTTATTCATTTACTTTCAGAAACCTTTAGTTGTATAATCTGCGTTTTCATTTGTAGCAAATTATACCTAGGTTCACGTCTAAATTATACAATTAAAAACGACTTAACTTGTCTTAATTAAGATTCATTGTTATGTCGTTTGTACGACACATACTAACAGTATAACGACATGGAATTAAGATAATTTGTTGTCTACACATCAACATGAGATTTCTAAATTTATTATACGTATAAATTGTCTTAATCCATCATGAGTAGAACGATTTTAAACATCGTTTGAGCTATTTTCAAAAGATCAAGACTATTTAGTTATACTACATGTTAATTCAGTTTAAAGTTTTCTTCATTTAATTTACTTTAAGAGTTCCGTACCTCGTAAGGAAAAAAACCGAACTCTTATAGGACCTTAGGACCACTTAGTTGTTCGTCCGTTTGTCTGTCAAGACTTACCTTTTTTTACACGAACTTGACGAAAAAATCTTTAAATGAAAATCTCAAAATTTATTAATCGCTCCGTTAGTACGTCACGTAGGAAAATTTATTCCCTTACTTTACGTAATAAATTTCCAAGTATAAGTAAAGTAAATTGGTTATTGTCATATATTATATTGTCATCTTAATCAAGGATCTGTAATATTAATTACAAAGCATCAAAGACCTCCCTTGACTTTACCCTTCACCAAGATATATGAAATACTCTCAAGTATGTTTTCAATGTCAAAATCTTTTATATATATAAAAGAAAGTCGTGTTAGTTACACTATTTATAACTCAAGAACAGCTTTACCGGTATGGTTGAAAATTGGTGAGGTAACTTAGTGTCAGGAGACGGACATAGGGTCCTATTTATTAAGTTTTTTTCGTATTTCTGTCTTGAAGAGCTGCTTTTTATTTAACTTACTAATGTTATAAATGCGAATATTTAGATGGTTGTGACGTGGACGGATCTCGATTAAATTTGGCATACGTACAGAACATAGTCAGATAGAACACATAGGCTACACTAATTAATTTTTTTTATATATCCACGCGGACGGAATCGCGGGCGACAGCTAGTATTTATTGAATGAAAGAAACTTCAACACCTCAATAACAAGATTAAAATTAATATTACAGGTTGCTATAAACGACGTATGATACATAATGAAGAAACTTTATAAGCTACAATCTTGACTTTGGGTTCAGTTGCTTTGTTATGTATGAAATATGAAGACAATTTAAATAAGTTAATCTAAGTTAAATTGAAATGTTATTATCTATGAATACAATATCTTATATTATTTAATGATTATTCTAAACCATCTTATTTTTTTAATCGTACAAAAAATTTAACCGAATAACTATGAGTTTTTGAGACCATGATCGTTTAAAGCATATTGTTATCTCTGTTTTGACGATACTAATGACAGGGACGAAACTAACGATATGTTTTATACAGAGATTTTAAAATCAGTAACCAAAGGATTTAAAGTAAAACAAATGAATAATTGAAAACGTTAATTCAAAAGATTTTTGAGTGAATTCAGATATAACGATGTCTAATAGAGATGTATGAAATTAACTTTTTGTAATTCAAAATATCTCATAGGGTTTTATTAGATGTTTAAAATTCTCTATTTTCTATTCCGATTTTATATTTACATTACAGTTGGAGGAATTAAAAAAAAGTTAAATGTCTCAAGAATACAAAATAGAGAAGTTCCTAGAGATTTGCGCAAGGAAATTTAATTGCAGTTAGTAATTAAAATAATTCCATGTTTTACCGCAGCTTCAAATAGTTACCTATCTACGAAAGAAAATAACTACAAAGTTAAAATATCCGTATTGTGTTTCTTTTGCTAAGAATATCTAATGAGTATTTTTAGAGATTTCAGTTTAAAGGCTATGTTTAGTTAATTGCTATTATTATTTCCATACTAGCTGTCGCTCACGACTCCGTCCTGCTCCGAACGACAGAATTAAAAAAAAAACTTTAATTAGCCCATGTGTTCTTCCAGACCATGTTCTATATGTATGCTAAATTTCATCGACATCCGTTAAGCTGTTCTGTAGATAATTTCAAACAAACATCTATCCATCTATCTAAACATTCGCATTTAAAATATTAAGTAACATAAGATGTTTTGCAGTAGATACTTATGTAGTAAGCATCCAAATGTTTAATGTCGAATTCAAGTATTCAAAGGGCTTACCGTAAGCTATGTTTGGCGCATTAATTAAAGGTTTCGACGGACTCGTTAAGAGTTATTGAATAAATTGATCCGAGTGATTAATTGACTATTAATTACGTTATCGCTTAGCACCTGCGTTTGCTTGATTTAATTTAGGTACCTTGATTATGATGATGATTATTCTATTACTTATGAATATTTAGAATTGTTTATGGTACGAGACACAAATACAAACGATGCCCTTGTTCTATGAAAACCTACATCTAATGGTACGTGTTATTACAAAGTTAGATTCAATTGTTATTTAATTTTACATCACAGAACAAACAAATCCGCTATCATTATGTTCCGTCTCCTCATATCCTTCATTATGCGTTTTACTTTTAAATATTCGGAAAAAGCATTGTTTTAAATTTAATTAAATATAGGTGGGGTAAAAGAAGAGGCTTCCCTCTTATGTCATTCGTATTGACAGGGGTCAACAGATTATCGGTTTGATGGAAAGCGTTTTATCGACTAATCTTCCTGAACGCCCGGTCCAAAATTTTTAAAATAATAATAAGATAAGATACAGTTAAAGCCATAAATAATAATAATCATGTGTTTTTTACACTTAATCTACTATTATTAATCTTATTAATCTAAAATCTATGGTTAAACTATTGGATGTTACGCATCCATTATACTGGAAACTTTATGAACACACTTCTACCAAGTTTTGAGTTTTTATTTGTCACAAAATGATTATTATATTAGAATGAATAAATCAAACATATACAAAATCCGAAGAGCTGTCTGACTGTCACTTAAAATGTCTCTTTTGTTTAACAATCGCAAAGATAATTACAATCCTTATCTTATTTACAACAATAAAGTGCTGATTAGTACTTCAAAGGAAACTTGTAAATGATTTTAGCAACGAAAGAGGTTTTAATTCAAAATTTTATTTTTAAAAAGTTACGTTATATCAGAAGAAAAGTTTAGTGTTTAAGGTAAAGTTATCGTGACGTTTAGGTATTCGGATCATTAGATTATCAATCAACAAGCGACTGGGATTGATTGAATACTGATGACTGTACAGGTCTCGAGATTAATGTTCCGAGCAGTGTATACGAATAATTTGACGAACAAAGAAAGCTTATTCTTCGAGAAATTTGGTAATATACACCTGTACATAAATATAGGCATTTTATAACAATTAACGTTATCGCAACTACCCCTTTAATTAAAAATGCAGAATTTGATCCTTGGCGGTCAAATCGCAGACTGCACTTTAAAACAGTTTTTATGAAACGAATATCGTTATATCTGTTGAACATTGATGAATGTTCAAATGATTTGTAAAATCCACTTGTTAATACAATCAAGCAAAAATCAGTGTCATTTCACAAAATCATTTTTAGGTCGGTTTAGCTCACGATTTAACCTTCTATGCGCTACTAAACAGTCATACGCATGATCCAAGCACGCCCCGCTTACAAGCAATAACATTAAAATGCTAATATGACGATCAGAGAGATGAAAACAGGGTTAAAAATGCAGATTAAGTACAAAGACGCGAGAAGCGACGCGGCATCAATGTGTTTGATAATACCACAAAACACACATTCGCATAATTTTTCGATTATGTTATGATTCAGCGAGCATGTCTCGCTCATTTCGAATGAAACATTTAGTATAACAACCAGTTGCAATTGTTATAACCTCATTTGCTCCTACATTGCAACTATAACCGTTCATTTACTTAAAGTTTATTACAAGTATGTTGTTTGAAGTCTTTTAGACTGAAAGAACGATAGCTAACTATTAATATCAATTATATCAAAAAGCACTAATTAAAATAAAAGGCATTTTACATTTACTTCTTGTAATAAAAACTAAAAGAGAGAAGAACGTCATCTGGTGAAAATAAAAGTAATTTTTCCTGACTCGACTTTTAATTCCGTACGACAGAAATGAAGTGACTTTCTTTATTTTTAGCAATTTATACATCTAGACTTGAATATTAATCCTCAAAGAGAAAAAAACTACTAACATCTAAACTAGATACTGGCGACCGAGAGAGTTAAATACTCTGCTTTTTAATAAATTTATGACTACTGAGATTGTACAGCCCAGTAGATAAGCCATTTAAGAATCTTATATTAGAGAAAACATACTCTTTTACAATTCAATCTTACTAATATTATAAATGCGAATGTTTGGATGGATGGATGGATATTTGTTTGGAGGTATCTCGAGACCGGTGTTATGGATCTCGCTGAAATTTGGCATATATGTAGAACATAGTCTGGAAAACACATAGGCTGCTTGTTACGTTTCTTT